GTTCTGTTTTTCATGCTGTATACTTATATTTCTTTTTATTGCACTATTCAGACATTCACATAAACAAATGATTTAACATCATTATCTCCTAATTTTTAAGAATTCAGCTGCTAATGATTTATTTCAAGCTTTCAGATAATYATTCCATCAAATCATCCTTAAGCAACATTTTGTTTTTAATTGTTAAAGAACATTTTTTTAGGCTCAAACTTATCTGCCTCCTGTTGTCTGCAGCTTGTAAACGGAAGGAGGAGGACCGGGGACGGGAGCGCAGCCAGGTGCCCAAGAAGCAGCGGCTGGTCTTCACCGACCTGCAGCGTCGCACCCTGGTCGCCATCTTCCGAGAGAACCGGCGCCCCTCCAAGGAGATGCAGCTCACCATCTCTCAGCAGCTGGGCCTGGAGCTCTCCACCGTCTCCAACTTCTTCATGAACTCCCGCCGCCGCTGCCCGGAGCGCTGGGACACTGAGGAGCACGGCCACGGGATGCTCGGCGGCGGCCACGGMCACGTCCACACCCCGCACGGGAGCGGCAGCAACACCAGCGCGTCCCCGCTCCAAGCCGGCGCCTCCGCCAACACTTTCTCCAAGGCCTGACGGCTGCAGGACGGATGCGTGCAGGGTGGTGGACGAGATTTTTTTTTTAATTTGATTTTTATTTGAACTTTGACTGAAACAATGTGCACAGCTGCTGTGTGTATCTTGTGTGYTCATCTGATCCATCTGCTGCACCTGTCCAGATGAACCAGAAGCTCCGTGCGTTTTATTTTAAATGGACTGCTTTGCTCCTCAAACCAAAGATTCAGTATAGTTTTATGAATCACTGCAAACAAACTTCTCTGTAAATCCACCGGAAAACAAACAAAGAAAACACGTTTTCACAATAAGAGTCTCAGACAGGAGTGAGACAGCAGGTGGACATGTGGATCAGCACACTTAAAGGCACAATTCAAACCTTTTCCTAACATTTCTGTGGACAGGTTAGAAACATTGTGGCAAATYGCTTTATAAGCTACCTCAATTTAGAGAAATACAGATCAGTTCCCACCAGATTGACGAGCTAAGGGCTAGTCTGYGTGAGGCTAAGACCAAAGTGCACTACTGTCACATTATAAACGTTTATATCCGCCTTACAGCAGAAACATCATGTTCCGTGGCAGTGCTGCTATTTGTGCTCACAAATAATACTATCACTATAAATAACCATGTCATTTGAAATAATTGGTGGTGCAAAGTTTATTAAGTGTTTGCATGAACCACTACAATATTKTCGAGACCCCTTTGGTCTTGGCCCCGCTCAAAGTAACCTTTAGCTTTTTAGCTAAAATTGATCAGGAGTAATTTTTGTTTTTCCAAACCGATAATGTTCAAGTAGCTATCTGCAGCAGGTAAGATATTAGYTGTTCATRACTTCTACTTCTTATTTTAAAAGACTCAGACAACTGCTTTAATTAATGTATAATCCATTGTTTGGCACAAGGGTGTGCCTGGATTTCTTTTAAGTGAAATTGGGCCATAAATTCAGGATGAGAATTATTAAAGTTAGCCATAAACAGTAATTAGCTGCAACTTGAAGTGGGTCAACCTGTTTCAGATTTAGCACCCATTTTTGGAGCTAAACCTTTCTATCCACTTGGGAAGGGATATTTTCTTTTTGGCTACATGTGCAGATAGGTCTCATGGTTTACGTCCAGTGAAATGGACACAAGCATTCACTTTGACCTGCTAACCACCTTCAGTGGTGCCTGCATGTTTAATATTCACATGGTCTCTTCGTGCTACAAGGGGTGTTTCCATCCTTCTGCTGGTCTCCAGTCTGCACCACGTCAGAGTAACAGTGCCACCTGCTGCCCACATGAAAGCTTCTAGTCTCAGCTCACATCTCCAGCAAGGTTTTAGAAAAAGCCTTACACCCTGCAGTATAAATCAGCTTTAGGACATACCAGCCCTCCTATTTGAGCAAAATTGTAGTCCTGTAAACACGACACACCCGTGGAAATTATTGACTCAACTTTTGATTTGAACGTTTCGTTTATTTCTTGACACTCATCGTGCGGCTTCGCTGCCGTAGGCCGCTCAGCCACACGAGAGGGTATATTCAGGTTATAAAAGGAGAACAATCAAACAAGGACGACGCAGCTTTGAAGCAAACCGTCGTCCCCAAGTTTAGTGTATAGGGCGTGAGGGGTGGGTGGGGTGGAGGGGGCCCGCTCTGTTCTAGTGGCCAAACACAGAGGTCAAATGTCACACTATATAGGATCCTGAGTGCCAGTGACGTTTGCCTCTTCATGATAATCAGAGAACAGATGCAGACCAGCTCCGTCGCCGTCCGGCCTTCGCCGCGTCTGCTTCGTTTCATCACAGCCTTCGATCTGCGAGCACTATTATAGGCACATCGCCTGTTTCATACCTCAGAAAAAAAACACTGATGTGATCAGCGTGACATTCAGTAACTGTAAATAATTTTTAATTTCATCCTTATCTCTCTGTCTTATCTATTCTGTATTTATCACCCCCCCACCCACACTCCCTATGTATTTTTCCTTTACTTTTATTTTATTTTTTTAACGATGCGGGTAACAATAGTACCATAGACACATGGTTTCTCTCTTGTGACTATTGTGCTATGTTGTGCTGAAAAATATATGTAAAAAAGCACCTTTTTTGACAAAATAGAAAAAACTTTGTGTTAGAAATGAAAAAAAAAAGTCAAATCAACTTGGACTGATCCTATGCACGGACAAGAAAAGGGGTCCTGGTGACAAACTGTGCATCTTAGTGAAGACCTGTGGGACGTGAAGGACCTCATAAATCCTCTTTAAACTTGGACTGCAACTGCATTTCCTCTGCTGACGGTGTTTTTTGCTTACCATGAGAACCTCCTCATTTTTTAAGTGTCTTTTTACCTTTTTGTTATTGTTTTTTTTTTGTGGGCAAAGCCACTTGTTGTGTAGCATCTTCTAGCGGGAGATAATCATACTAAAGAGGAGTTGCAGAGAGGAGGACGAGGGGGTACAGCAGGGGGAGCTAGCGGCATCCGAGGCCCGTCATGAGGCCAAAAGGAAATATGGAAGTGACATACCTCCATAAGTTGTTGTGTTACTTCTGAGTCCAGAGGAGAGAAATGTTGACCCAAATKTTGACAGCTACACCTGGCAGTATTAACCGTGACACATCTGCCAGTACCAAAAATGCATTGAGCCTGCGTGGGTTCAGCACTGGACCTGAAACGCACACACACACACACTCACATGCAAAAACACAGAGKGGCAGACGTGTGCAGGACAGTGGTAACTCCGTGGCAAAGCTGTATTTGTCATGTGGAAAAAGCTGAGTGCCTTTTTCCTTCAACCAGGGGATGGACTGCTCTGATCTGAGAAAATCAGTTGAAACTTGATAAATGGAGGTGGGATGGGGGTGGTCACAYACATTTGATTTAAAAAGAAAAGCCACTCTTATGATTCAAACAGCACTTTCTTTCATACATTTGGGGAGAGCACAGTTTACCACAACAATTTAGTTTTTTCTCTTTTTTTTACACACACACTCACACACTCCAGCCAGAGATATTTTTGTGTAATTTATAGTAAGTGTAGGTGTGTGTGTGTGTGTGTGTGTGTGTGTGTGTGTGTGTGTTTGACTGTTTACAAAGACTTCTGCACCCAATTTGCTTTGATCGCCTACTAAGCAAACTCCACCAACGTGAAAAACCAAAGATAAAAATCACCAAAGATGACATCATTTTTACATGACGCCTCGACTGGTGACACCCCCCCCCCCCCCCCGCCTATTGCTGGTCCCTTCGTCCAGGGTAGCTGTCCAACAAGGCAGGCGTGTGTAGACAATTCATCTTGATATACCTCAAATCTTTATGGTAAAGGTTCATGTAGTGAAACAAATACAATGTTTCATCGATGAAATGATTGTTCCTTTTTTTGTTTTTATAAAAGTATTTCTCTAAGGGAGAGTGTGAAATGTAAGTTTGATTTGTTTTTACTTTTGCTTAATCTGTAGAATTTGCATCGTGTTGCTTTTAAGGCTCAGTGTAAAGACTGACAAGGGAAGGATAAAAAGCATAAAACCCAGTTGTAGAATTATGAAAGCAAAGATTACTAATAACACTACAAGCATACAATAATTTCTGATTCACATCACTTTTTAAAAAAATGGTTTTGCATTTAAATTGATCTGTTAAAAGTGATTTATTAAAAAAATAGTCAATCAAAACCCCTCTGTCATTAAGGGTGGGATGATCTGTTCACTTTTATTTCTGCATGGATTGATTCAAAGTGTAAATAAACAGCAGGATGAAATGTACTCCTCCACAGGTGGAGGGRAGGGAGACAAACAACATCTGGGAATCTTTGCATTCTTTGTCAGTTCTGTGTTTTTTATGTGCTGTTTGTGTGTTTGTATAAAATCGGTGTATTTCTGTGTCACGTCGTTCCTTCTCAGTGTGTGTAACCGTCCCATACATTCCTGTATCTGTATCTCTGTTTTCATTGTGTGAGTGTGGGGTTGCGTGTCTTTTATTTTTTCACTGAATTCCTGTATTTAAGTTAAATTTGACAGTGTGTCTGGATTTGAAACTCAGACAGCGAAGAAAGCAGAAACATTTTTTCCACTGGATCCGAAAAGTGTTGTTTGCTTTGTCCTTCAAAACTCGAAAAGTCGCAGCGTGGATGTGTTGTTTTTTCCTCTCTCTGTCTTCCTTTACCAATCAATCAATCAGAACCAAGTGTCTTTGTGATGGTAGAGACAATCAATTTCAAATAGAACAGAGACAAAATGAAGAAGGAGGGAGAGAGAATGAGAGTGATGGAGAGCGGTGGAAACTGACTGAAGCGGATGGGAGAATAGAACAGAGTGTGTGTCTCTTTTTGAAAGTGTGTGTGTGTGTGATCACCTTTAACCTCTGCAGCGTGACCTTTATGGTGGGGGCCGAGGCATCCAGAAGCCTCCCCCAGCTACGAGGCGGGTGGTGGTGCGGTCTGACTTGTTAAATGGACATCTAATCGAAGAGGCTGATCAAATGCCTGCAGCCAAATGCACACACACACACACACACACGCACACACACACACACACACACACACACACACACAGCGGTGATGCAGAGAGCTTTTCTCCTGCTCTTTATCTCAACGGGTCTGTCGGTCACGTTGCTTCGCCTTCGGCCTGTTTTCAAACAGCTGAGGTCAAACGGGGACAAATGAAACACCAAAATGAAAATCAGTGTGGATTTTTTGTGTGTTTTGACCAAAACAAATAAAAAAGAAACAAACAACAGGCCAACTGTCTTCATTTTCTGTGAAGAGCTTCATTTTAAACAACAAGGCTTTGTTGTCATCTAGTGGTGAGAAAATAAAAGTACACTGGGACTTCTTTAGCTGTTTACCGCAAATTTTCTCATCGATTTTCTCATCGGGTCACATGTAAAGACAAGAACATTTGACTTTATGAACCAGAGGAGAAGAACATCAATCAATCTCTGATTCACTCCATAAAATACATTTTGTAAAAATTTATTTCCTCTCGTCTTCAGAGCTGATGGCTGTCAGGAAGGAGGTTGCAGGATCACCTCCTGGCTTGGTTTACATGTTCTTTCTGTGCATGTGTGGGTTTTCTCACATAGACTGAAAACATGCATGTCAGATTTGGTATCATGAAAAGGAACTATTTGGAATGATTTTTTTATGAAATTATCCGCTGTCCCTCTGCAGTAAATGATAAGGTTTTTAGGTTACACCTCAAACAAGGGTTAAGGGCWAATTTGACAAAACCTACAAAGGGCTGAATTTAAATTTACCAAGAATTTTAAAAACTGTTGCAGTATGCAGGTCCACTTGGGTTAAATGTTAATGCTGAAACTCAAAACGGAACTCAGCAGTTTGCATGACAATGACAGTGCACGCTGCTTATGAGACAAAGGAGGGTGTCCTGGGGTATCTCCTCCCAGATCCTGACCAGGGCATCACTGAGCTCCTAGATAGTCGGAGGTTCAACCTTTCAGTGTCAGATGGACCTAAACATAATGTCCTAGAGGCCAGTCAATGGTAGCACTTCCTTCATCCTCACTGCCTGTTTACTCTTGCCACATGACCTTATCATGTACCAGGAGGAACCCAGGACCCACTGCAACAGCAAAGGGTCTAATAACGAATCCAAGGATTTCCTGGCAGTCTGGTTATCCTGTAAAGGATAAATGTCTGATAGGTGTGTGTGTCCCATCTCCACAGACCAACACTGACTCATCATCAAACTGATCACGCTGAACAGTGTTACAGGCAGCATAACATTCACTGCAGCTTCTCCAGCCCTCATACCGCCCTCATAAAATCTGTCTCTATTGGTTTGGTCAGAGACATTCACACCAGTGGCTCACTAGATGTCACTTTGTAGGACTCTGGCAGAACTCAACCTGTTCTTCCTTGTACCAAGGAGCCAATTCCAGCTCTGCAGATGGGTTAAGGACCTTCAGTTCTCCTAACTGCCCATCTCCTGGGATCTCCTCCATGCTTCTTCTGGCAATGGCACAAATTGATGTGTCATCTTGGTTGACTTGCACTGCCTGTAAAATTTCTGTAGGGTCCATGTTCATTTGACAAACAAGCATCCCAGTAACATGTGGAAGAACCATACACAGCCACACAAACCAGGCACCTCCTCATGTTGGTCACTGGTCACACACTGCCGTGGGACGGCATCCCTTTCTTCAACCATCATTTGTTGCAAATCAACCAACGTGGTTGTGTAGGTCACTCTCGCACAAACAGCACACCCAAGCTGATCCAACAAGTGTTCGATGGGGTTGAGTTCAGAACTTCTGCCATTCCACCCACTCCACTCTCAAATTCTGGAGGTAGTCTCTGATAAACTACACTCTGTTACAGCGAGTCTTTTACTTTGAGTATAGAGTTCAGTCCCAGACTGTGGAGATATGGGATTTCTCTTTGGTTGCAGAATTTCATCTTAATACAGGGGTTAGACAATGAAACTGAAACACCTGTCATGTTAACGTGGGAGGTTTCATGGCTAAATTGGACCATACTGGTGGCCATTCTTCATTAATTGTACATTGCACCAGTTAGAGCAGAGTGTGAAGTTTTAATTAGCAGAGTAAGAGCACAGTTTGGCTCAACACACAACATTATAGGTGACATTCCAGAGTTCAAAAGAGGACAAATTGTTGGTGCACGTCTTGCTGGTGCATCTGTGACCAAGACAGCAAGTCTTTGTGATGTGTCAAGAACCACAGTATCCAGGGTAATGTCAGCATACCACCAAGAAGGACGAAGCACATCCAACAGGATTAACTGTGGACGCAAGAGGAAGCTGTCTGAAAGAGATGTTATGGTCTAAAACCAGGTGTTTCAGTTTCATTGTCTAACCCCTTTATCTCTCTGCTTTGAGATTGCCTCCAATGATAAGTTGTTTTTCCAGTGGGAGAGGCCACCCCACACCATCACACTGCCTCCACCAAAAGATGTTACTCTTTTGATGCAGCAATCAGCGCAGCCTTCTCGGTGTCTTCTCCACACTGTCATGCTACAGTCCAACTTCCGTAGGCAAAATCTGGACTTACTGCTGAACATAATAGTCCTCCACATTTTCAGGTTCCAGTGCACGTGCTGCCAACATCAACACAAATTGGCCTGATGGTGAAGGGCAGTCATGGCAGGCCTTCTGATGCCCGATGAGACCAGAGCTTTGCTGCGTCTGTTGTATGAGCAGTGAGTCATCAGCTATATCGTCCTGCATGCCTTGATTGCAAATTTGTGGAAGGCAGTATTAAGTGCTGACGGTGAAGAAAGAATCTTCTGTCATCTTCTTGGGACACCCCTTCCTGGTCTGTCTCCCATACACTGGAAGTTAGCTTATAAATTTATTTTCGGCACCTAAACATTTATTATTCACATGCTAAATGTTTTAATCCATTCTCAACACACTTTTACAGCATCTCTTTGTAGATCATTAGAAATCCACATTATTGTTATTCCATATTATTTGATGCATGTTGTAAATGGTAAATGGATTGAACTTATATGACACAGACTCCAAAGCGCTTTGCACTTCAGACATTCACTCACACACACACACACACACACACACACACACACACACACAC